TGGTTACAGAAGATATGTAATAAAGTAACCGACGAAGACTTGCGCTTTTCTCCCAAACCCCCTGGTAAACCCAAATGAAGGTTGAAATTTAAAAACAAATTAATAAAGTTGAAGTAAAATCTGTGGATAATTTATTTTTCAAAAAAAAAAAAAACTGCAACAGATATTATTTAACACCCTGTATATCAATCCCTAACCGCCAAAATAACGTAAGCGACATTTTTTTTTAATTTTCTTTTTGATGCAGAAATGTATCTAGATGCTCTAGGAATATTTCTGCATCTAAAAGACAATTTTGAAAAAATGTCGCTTACGTTATTTTGGCGGTTAGGGCGCGATATGATAAAATATTAATAGCTGGAAAAAAGGAGTACAAAAGAAGTACAAAGCTAATAAAGGAGTACATTTCCAGATATTTTTTTATTTTTGGAGTACAAGGGAGTACATTGCAATAAAAAGGAGTACATTTACTCCCAAAAGCAGTACGTCTGGCAACCCTATATTCTTCACAAGCAGCAATAAGCTGCCATCACGAAGCTCCGAGATGACGTTGCCCTCACTGCTTATGGCTTGAATTCCTTTATGGATCGCAAAGCACGAAAAAGTTTAATCGGTTTTTTATCATCAGATAATTTTATAATTAGGGATTTCGGGTCATCCTTTTTTATGATCGGGAGTCCAGGGAAAGGGTCCAACGGCGTTAAATCAGGATTTTTTCGTTTTGATTTCGGGGACGGAGATAAGAGGACATACCCGTTCTCCCCAAGGTGGGTGGCCCCGGGGCCATTTCGAACACAGAAATATTTATTTTATGAAATCTCGATCGGCGATCACTGAAACGCAGCTAGTCACTATATACGCGAAAAAGCAATGTTACCACTTTTTCTCATTAAACCATGTTCGAATCGTGGAAATTTTGGAATGTCACAGGGTTGCTTTAAGCATTTAGATTCTCAATGCAAAAATGGAGTTGCATTTAATAGCATTTAGGTGCAAATGCAACTAAACGCAACTCCATTTTTGCATTAAGAATCTAAATGCTAAAAGCAACCCTGTGATCTTCCAAAATTTCCACGATTCGTACATGGTTTAAAGAGAAAAAGTGGCAACATTGCTTTTTCGAGTATACAATTGCTAGCTGCGTTTCAGTGATCGCCGATCGAGTTTCTTTTAATTTACATTACATATTTGGATAAAGAAAAGTTAAGCAAATTCAACATCGATGTGATGCTGATAGAAATCTGGATCAATTTGTGATCAACTCTGTTTGGTTTGTTTCCTAATTAAGTGAGGAAATTTTAATTAACAGCACCGACAAATGAATATATACACAAACAAATGTTCGGCTATGGTTAAAACAATTCAAGTTTTTGTATTGAATTTTTGGTTTAAAATTTATTTTCTCCTTTTCAGTAGGGTTTTTGCACATTATCTTCTGCGTGAGAATTGATCGTAATATATACGGATCTAAGTAAGAGACTGGAACACGGCTGTTTGTCTAAAGCATACGATTTCGAACTCGTGTAAATGTACATTTGCCAAATTCTATAGCATGAACTCTCTTCGAAAACATATGTGCTAAATGTTGCATTTTAAATGCAGCAAAAACGCTGCATACGCAAAAACAGCCTATTACAACTAAAGCTATTCATAGTCGCCTTACTTTCAACTTTTTCGGCTGCAGCTGCAATTAAGTCGTAACTAGGAAGAAGTACTTTTTATTAAATTGAGGGAAAAAGACGAAAGACGATAAAAATCGACGTCACATAATTATAGTTGTTTTGGCTTTTTTTACGCAATTAACAAGAAATTTTACCTTGTTCTTTTGCATAAACATGCAGAGAAAGTAAAAATTACATAAACGGATGATCGAACTTGACATTATTAAATAAAAACATAAATTTTCCAAAAAACAAAGTAAAACAAAGTTAAAAACAGGGACGTGAACCGGATGAAAAATTTGGTTGATTCGGTTCAGCGGTTCGAACCGTTTTTGCACTTTTGTATTGGTTCGTCAAAGCTGTTTTTTGGGTCTTTGAACCGGGGTTTCGGTTCGGTTCAACGGTACGAAAAACAAAAAAATAACGCGCAAGTTTAAGTGTCAAGTGCTACAACGCGCAAGGTTAAGGGTCAAGTGTCTGTCAAATGAGCTGAGCTGCTTTACATTTGATATTTGGGGTGTTCACAGTTCGTTCCAAATTATGTCTGCAAATGTAGACGTCTACATTTTGAGACATCTTTAGCATCAAACTGTGAGCACCCCTTTCTAGCAGTCGTCGCAAAATCGTCTCAAAACTTTGCTGGTGTTGCCAGACATTTCCTCTTTGCGTGCATTTTTTATATATCGCCTTTCGATTTTGTTTCTGAAAAATTGTAATTATTTAACTTAATTACCAATTCCTAATATTTGTTATTTCTTTTCCTTGATTTGTTTCTTTTCATCAGAAATTGCGCTCAAATTAAATGCAAATACAGAAAACGTGCCCAATAAATAAAAAAAATGTGATTAGTATTGCCATAATGCAACCCTGCTGCGAGGTTGCAAAATGTAGACGCGTAGAAAACATACCTTTGAGTGTGACAAAATGTAGACGGCGTCGTTTTCCAATTTTGTATGGGAAACAACAACACCACAGATTTTACGGTTAGAAAACGTCTTAAAGTGTAGACGTCTACATTTTCAGACACTATTTGGAACGAACTGTGAACACCCCAATTGTCACATGGTAAACAAACACGGTAGGTATTACCCATGAACCAATTAGAACAGATGTGACCGGTTGAGAAGCAGCCATTTGTAACAGCAATTGAGAAAAAAGTGTGACGTTCGTAAGTAGTGTGACGTTGAAGTATGCTATTTCTGTTTTGTTTCTTTCTTTATGTGTATTTTGTCGATGCTTTATTTCGAAGATTTTTAAGTGATTTTTTGTGTAAATGTAATTAAAATGAAGTGCGCGGTGATTAGATGCAAAAACACGTACAAAAATAATAAATTGGTTAGCACAAACATGTGCACAACATTGCTTGCAGTTTTCCTTTATGCTTCGTCTTCATATTCTTTGTTTACTTTCCACAGAAAATAACATGGCGTCGAAATTACAAACGTCAGCCAGAAAATTACTTTTTTCTTTTGCTTCATCTTGTCAGATCATGGATCATGGGTATTACTATGTTTAACAAAAAGAAAAATAATGGGTACATTTATCTATTGAAAATTGGTTGAAACGAACCTTAAAACCTTTATAGAAAGTGGTTCGGTTTTCGGCTCGGATCAAACATTTGTGTAAAATTTCGGTTCGGTTAATGGTTCAGTTAATTAATAGAAAAAAACGGTTTTCCGGTTCAAAAACGGTTTTCCGGTTCAAAACCGGTTCGGTTCAAAACCGGTTCACGTCCCTGGTTAAAATTACTTAGTAGAAGCCTGAAATGCGACTATGAATAGAAGAGAGTTTTAAGTTGGTACTTAAATTTAAGTTGCAACTTTATTAGTTTCGACTTAGTAGCTGGACTATGAATACGCGCTAAGTATTGTTTAGAAACGAAATGTGGTTTTTTGCGTTCCTCACACTCTGCGCACTTCTGGCACGTGCTGACACATGTGAGAGAGTAACTTATTTCTACGCTCTAATTACCGGTGAAACCCGGAAATCGTGTGGAACAAAGCTACTTACTGTCTGTGTAAAATTCAAAATTTTTTATTTTGGTCGCCGATACGCAGACCAAGTGTATTGTGCGTGGTGCAATTTTGTCATACTTGATTACATGAAGTGTGGACGTGCGCGGATAAAAATGAGGAAAGAATTTCTGTTAAAATTCTTCAATATGTTAAATTTTTTTAATGCCTGTATAGTGTACGGTGAAATTTGTTTTATGCGGAGAGCGATGAAAGTATTCACTAGGCTCTTTCCCAACAATCCGGACCGGATCGGGTAATTTTGTGCCCAGAAGTTTAGAAACAGATGATTCACGTTGTTTTTGTTTTTGTCACTTAAATCCAAACTCTTGGAAATTGGATTTTGGGTTCACAAATTTGATTTCAAGTATATAAAGATTAGTTGCGTTCGATAACAAAATTAGCCAACACCAGCCAACAATCAAAATCAAGAGCGTAAGCGAAAATTCTCTCCCAAAGAGAAGAAAAAGCAAAACAGTAAACGAACAAGAAATTAGCCATCACTTGCAAAGACCGGAAGAAGAAGACACACCAGCTGACTTTGTTTATGTTTTATTTGTAAACAAACTGAAGTTCATGTTGCCTCCATGGAAGAAAAAAGGAAAGTGAATGTTCAAGTGACATTTCTAGAAGTAAAAACTAGTTGGCACAATCATAAAATCACATAGCATGCAGCCAAAAAGCATATAAATACCAAAACTCGAAAAATGCAATTTTGTTTGTTTACAAAAATTGCAACCATATGTTTTGTGATCATATGTTTTCGTGTTGGATAATTTTTGCTGACTAAAATTTTGCCAGTACAAAATGAACGCTTCTCTTGCATCAAAATGAACGCTTGCTCTCTCGATTTTTGTGTGTTGGATATTTTTTTGTCGTTATCGAACGCCATCCAGTAAAAATTTGGAAAACTATTACAAATTTTTGACTTGTCGAACGCAACTATTAAAAGTACATTAAGAGGTTATGCATTATGCCTAAAAAGCACCAAGTAAATGCAGGCCGCATGAAAACACCAAACAGCTGATATGCACTTTGACATTTTTCCCGGAGAAAAGGTCCGGACTGTTTCGGACAGGAAGAAGAAGACACTTACGATCCAAAACGTTCCAATTTTCGCTCTCTATTACTCATCTTGTTGAGAACGGGAATGATTTCTGGGCTGTTTAGGGCACCCGCGGGATCCAGCGTTGCGTACGGGAAAGAACCTACTGTGTGGTGTATTTGGCCTATTATGTAAAGTAACTATCGATAGTTTTTTTAAACCATCGATGTGCTGGAAAATTAAAACTATCGATAGAATAATCGATAATTTGCACTTCTTACCATCCCTAATATCTATAAATTTGTTTGAAATTGTACTGTAATGTTTAAAGGAAAAACGATTATTAAGCCATTTCACAAATAAAAATGCAATGTCGCGCCTGCACCAAAAACAAAAGCCAAATCTTGGTTGATATGGCTGTCCCATGCACAGATGATGGCAAGTGCCTTTTCGATTACTTCAACGAATGTACACAATTACATGCGTCGCCTAAGGACAGTTTTCCTAAAACTCTTTGCAAAATGTGTGCTCAAAAGCTGCAAATAGCCTACAACTTTCGGAAATGTGCTCGGCAGTCGGAGGAATTTTTTCACAAATTTCTAATTCCGAATGGAGCGGAGACCGAAGCGATTATTTTTCCACCTAGCGATCGTTTGTCTCTTAAGGTAATGAAATCATTCTAGGTACATTTATTTGTTCTGGCGAATATGTAGATTTTGCTCATTCCTACTCTATTTGAATAGGAGGAGGTTGTAGTAGAACCTGACTTCCCTGGTGAGAATATCTGTGCAGAAAATTTAATAGTGGAAACTGAAGAGATTGAAACGCGTCTTAGTCCAGAAGCTATAGAAACTGAATGTGTGTATGCTGAGTTATTATGCGAGGTATCAGAATATAAGCTGGAAAAAGAGGCGCTAAGTGAATCCGAAGAAGAAGATAAGGATTCCAATATAGAGAACTATCAAGATACAACAACACCAGAGAGTTACTTTGATGCGACAGAAGACCAATGTGGCGATTTTTACTCTAGTGAATTTTTGGCCATCGAAAAGGTGGAACGGCAAGAAAATGCAGAGGATATGAAGCCCACGGTTGAAAATGAAAATGAGTTAGTATGCGAGCAATCAAATGACATATCCGAAAGATTGTATTTAAATGAATCGAACGATGAGAAATCACTTTGCAATGAAGAGGAAGAAGGAAGTGAAGATGAAACGTTAGAAAGAATAACCTATCTCTGTGAGCCACAAAATACAATTGACAATAATTATTCAGCAAAAACTTTTGTTGGCAAACGTAAAAAAATAAATGAGTCCAAGCAAAATGGAAGGAAACCGATGAGCGGTGAAGCCGGTCAGCAAACTGCTAGAGCCAATAACAAGCAACAGGAAGTGCAAAAAACAAACGCTAATAAAAGGACAAATATTCACAATGTGAAAATAAAGCAGAAACTTTTATGTTCATTTTGCCGTGAGTACTATGTAGTAAAAATTTTGGATTCTCTTCTGGTTTTTGCCAAGTTTTTGCTTTGGAGTAAATTTTTCGATTTCAATGAATCTACATAGATCTTCGATTTTTCCAAATGAATTGCAATTGGGGGGAAACTTTCCATTATGGCCGTTCGTTAAAGGTGCGGTGGGCAAAGGGGGAGTGGGCGTGGGACCTCCAACAAATGAAAATTGTGATTTTTGGCAATTTTTCTAAGGGGTCCCTAGGGAACCATAGGGGACCTAGGTGGTCGGGGGTGGTATTTTTGTCAATGGAAGTTCATTCCCTTTCCAAAAATGTGGGTTAGAGGTGCCATGCCCACTTACGTTTCGCTCACCGCCCCTTTAACGAACGGTCATAAAGGAAAGCCAACCCGCAATTGGTGCAAGGCGAAATCATACAGTGTGCTAACGGTAAAACAAAAACAAAAAATTATTAAGAAATTATACACGATGACAATCAGAACACAAAAGATTTACAAAAAACACATCGTTTTGGCAATCTCTGCAATTCGCTTCGAACACCACCTTGTATGAATTCGCCTTGAATCAAACGTTATCGAACATCAAAACGTACTGTTCCGGCCAGTTTCGGCTTGAAATAGTTTTGATCAAGGGGACCTCGTACGTGCAGAGTGCGAAAAATAATTTGATCAAGTTATTGCAATTTTTCTTTAGTTTGTTTAATTTTCAGGGATGGTAATCATTATAAGTTAAAAAATATTAATCAACATTTAATTATTATCCGATTTTTATTTTTTTAATCACAAATAATAATTATTTAATGATTTTTACTTTTTTGCTCGAATGTAATTATTATTATATAATTTATATTTTTTTTGCTCAATAATAATGATAACTTCTTGATTTCTATGGTTTTGATCGAGATTAATGATTATGTTGCGATTTTTATTTTTTCGCTCAAGAATAATACTCAACTTCTGAGTTTTATATTTTCGCGTGAGCATAAGGATGACTTTTGATTTTATTTTTTTTTCGCTCAGGTATAATGATTATCTTGCGATTTTTATTTTTTCCGCTCAAGAATAATGATTGACACCTGACTTTTATTTTCTTTCGCCAAACATAAAACTCAAAACCTTATAAAACCAAGACCATATGAACTGTTGACTTGAAATTTTACGAGAACACACTTTTTATCATGGGGTACTACCCAATGATAACGAAACGTTTGAAATTCTACACTTATAGACAGAAAATCGGCATCGAAGTGAAACAAGATCGTTTTCATGCCTTTTGCATACGCATATGTATGTATATCCTTAATACGGAAAAACACTAACTTACTGATCGTTTAATTTTGACAAATTTCTTTTGCTACCCACTGGCAACGTGCCTTCACGCCCCACTAAACATCTAATAGATGCAATGGAACATTGGCACAGCTGACAATTCAGTGAGAAATAAATGTTTCTACTCTTAACGAAATATGCAGTGTTTGGATGTGTCCAATGAGCCTGAAGTGCCTGAGATTATAAAATCAAAAGCATTGTCAAAATCGCTGGAATTTCCTCGAAAGACTGGGATTGTTTAAGCCGCGTCCCCTAAAAGTGGATCCCGATGAGCCACTGAAGAAGAGTTTGAATATAAAAAGCATTAAAAAATACATGCACGCATATGTATTGTTAAACATAAATTTTTGTAGTTTTATTTTAAATGAACAGTTTTATTATAAATGAGTGTCCCTAGCCCGAAATTGCACTCTGCACGCCTGGGTACACAAGATCTTTCGCCTCTCGTCGGTCGGAATTCGGAAAAACGGACCCTATCCCGGTGCTTCTTTCCTTGGGACACTTTCCCATGTTTCTTATTTTTCAAACATTTTCACAAATAATTCACAAAACTTCACAATTATTTTGAAAACTCAAGTCAGCTCACGTTGAAGAAAATAAGCTAGGTGAATTCGCCTTGTAAACAACTTTGTATTTGACATTTTAAGCCGGGAGGCGAATAAAAACATCTCATCAGCTGATCTAGCAACACCACCTTATATATATTCGCCTTGATTCTGAACGTTTGGAATAAACTTTTTTGTTTACTTATTCTTTAGAACGTTCCTGATGATATGTTAACGTATATTTCAAACGCATTCT